CGTCAGCACTTTTGTCCAGATCAGAGTGATACTTCAGTATCTACTCATTTCCTTCAGGGGTTTTACATCTGCCCTTATCTCCCCCTTCCTAATTCCCCTGTAACCACCATCTCTCCACCTGACCGAGGTTAGGTGGGACCTTCCTGAATTACAGTCTCCTATGCTGGACCTATGATGTTTGGCTGGTTCTATGGATTCATAGTGACCACCTTACTGATGGTACGAACCAGAGGCTTCTTCGGTCGCTTCCTGAATGGGGCTCCGGCGCGGGAACCATGGTGGGTGAGTACGATCCATTTTGTATATGTGTGTGTATTTAATGTGCTGGTGGTTGTGTGTCCATCTGCTAGCTTTCTTTGCAGTGTTTTTCCAGGACCTGTGTGTTTCTGTCCTTTTTCTAAATCCATACTATGGTAAGTGCACACGTTAAGCTTTGCGCATTTTCTAAAATCCACATAGTGGTAAGTGTGCACGGTGTATGGTAAGGGTTATGCATTATTAACCTCGTTCCTCGTCTCGTTCCCTACTCAGGGAACCATGGTTACATACGTAACCTGAGACGATTTTCATGATATGTCATCTTTAATATTTTTGTGAAAACCATAACTTTTTTCAGGATTCTTTGATAAATATTGCATTCAAAAGAACAGCATTTATTTGAAATAGCAATATCAATCACTTTTGATTAACTTACGGCATCCTTGATGAAAAACTACTAATTCATTTATTTAATTATTTTAAATCTTACTAATATGAAGCATGATTGCATGTATCATCACCTTCAACTCATCTACCACAGCAGGTGTGTGCCATCTCTCAGGTATGTCTTTGTTCTTGGCATAGTACTCCTTTACTTCCTAAAAACAGAGATAATTGGGGGGGGGTGGTATTTACAATTGTATATATTTATCTTTCTGTACTCATGCGGTATTAATGTGAGGAATTTCCACAGAGATGACGGCAGTGCTGACCTGTTGGGCAGGAAGTACATGCTTTTTCATTAACTCTTTCACATGCTGAAGGACAGCCTGACCTTTGGGTGACAGCGTGAACAGCTCATCAGAGATCGGCATAGCAAACGTGGAGCTGCAGATAAAAAAAATACATCCTTTATAAAATATTATCAACATTTATAGTTACATATCTTCACAATTTTAAACCACATACCCTGACAATAAAAATACAAACAATAATTATACACCCTGCTTACATGAAAACACCTTTACTTACATATTCTGATTCAAAGGAAACAACCTCAAAAATACAACCAAAACACAGAATGCTCAATAAACAAAACTTGCTGTTGAACTGAAATAATGAAATATATCCTTAAAATGTATTTTTGGACATTGAAAACCTGAAGATAATCATTAACAAATAAACTGTCATGCAGGTAACTACTCTAATGTGCATGTGGAGTTGAGATTGTGATCTTGTACCTGAGGGTGATCTGTAAACCCAGCTCAGCTAAGGGCTCCACACTCTCTTCAAACTCAGCTGCACTAGAAGAACTGGCATTGCCCAACAAATGCCTTGTATAGATCCCCTAAAATGGGGAAAGAAAAATAACAAAGAGCCCTGTCACTTTCCATGTGTGTATAGATGTGTGTTTCAAATGACAAAATGAACACAAGGTTTACCAATCATTTGCTACCTTGGCATTCTGGGAGTAAAATTATCAACCTTCAATAAATATGTTTATTAAAATACACTTCTCTCATTTTGTTACATGGTTCAGGGCTACTTGATTCTGACTGCACAATTATCCCGACAAATATTTTTGTATAATGCCTGTTAACAAGTATAATTACCTGATGTGCCAACTAATCAATTTCCTACATACACTAGCCAACTGTTCAAACGTTTTGGTTTGGTAAGATTTATTTAATGTTTTTGCAAGAAGTCTTTTAATAAAATTAAAATTTTAAATAACTGTATATTATTTGAACATATTTTTAAATTAAATGTATTCCTGTGATAGCAAATATAAATGTCTTTACTGTCACTCATGATCAATTTAAAGGTGCTGTATGTAGGATTGACACCGAGTGGTTGAACTAGGTATTGCAGTCCAAATTCAAAATATTGGAGAGGGTTTTTTTCACCCGGCCCCTCCTCCTCAGACTTGACGCACACGCAGGTTGCCAGATTGACATCACCAACAGGAACGAGTGCACTTGACGATGAATGAAATGAAATACGCTGTATTTTCTGCCAACCGGCAACCTGGGGTGCCGAAATACAATTGGGTAAACTGGCAGTGGGCGGGTTTCACAAACCAAAACAGAGACTGACATACCGGCACATTTTCAAAGGAGAATAACTGACTGTAGCATTGTTTTTCAGATAAACAAGTATGTTAATTTAGCAAACATATTATGGTATTTTTATGCTTTAGTAGAGTCAAAAACTTACATACAGCACCTTTAATACATCCTTACTGAATAAAAGCAATAGTTAAAAAAAAAAAATCTTCCTGACCCCAAACTTTTGAACTATATATAGCTGTGCTTAGTTTCATGTCTCCCATAGTCCTCAACTCTCTTTTTCTCAAATAATGAATACTTCAACTCACAATGATATTTAACGGCAATTCATTTCATAATTTTGTAACAGTTATCCTGTTAGATGGATTACATTTTTCATCCTGTCCTCTAGAGGGCAACAAAGAGAGAAATGGTTTTAAGATTTCCTGGAGCATAGAGGAAGGAGAGGGGGGAAAAGCATGATCTGTGGCCGAAATCACTCACTCGTTCACTCATTCACTAATCCCTATATAGTGTATGGCAGTTGAGTGGACTATATCAGAAAAGAGTGAACGAAATTAAGTGAACTGATTCGGATGGTGACGTATAGACTGCCCGTGAGACTTGGAGCTGTTGCAAAAACATCGTCACATATGTACATTTATATTACATGTAAATAATATTAATAGTAATAACACTCAAAATTACTTTATTGTAATTATGCATACCTCCGCGTCAGCTTTGTGGTTTCATAGATGGTAGATTATTAATTTGTTTTGTAATGCTTTTATGTTCATAATATAAAGGTCTTCCGGAAGCAGAAAAGGAAAAAAGCATCAGGCCCAGATTGTGTCACACCAGCCTGTCTGAAATCCTGTGCTGACCAGCTGGCCCCCATCTTCACACAGATCTTCAACAGATCACTGGAGCTGTGCGAAGTCTCTTCATGCTTCAAACGCTCCACCATCATCTCCATCCCAAAGAAATGCAAAATTACAGGACTAAATGACTACAGGCCTGTGGCTCTACCGTCTGTCGTCATGAA